TAAGGTCCTTTAGCACAATATTACCTCAAAGTCATCTTGGCGCTACAACTGAGAAGGGTACCGTTTGTGCAAGGTTAAGTCACTTGGTATCATTTGTGTACACGCTATTCCTTGTATTGATCCCATTTCAAAGGATTGAATAAGACGACTAGCTAATATCAGGATCTCCCCACACTCTACATTGGTAGCTTCTGTGGATCGTCTTGACCCCGTTCAACAACTTCTGTCGACCAAAATGACCCTAGCTAATTATGCGAACAACAGTAGGTCGCCTTGTTTCATTGGATACATACTATTATAGTTACTCAGTGAAGTAACAAAATCAAAATTGACGGAGTCTGAACAGTATCTGTACTTGTATATCTTCGTATACAGCCACAGGACACGCCACCCAACCACACCCAGTCGGATATTTGCGTACATACGATGATAAATCATAAAAATGATAAATTCATTGCATTGCGGGACGTATCAGGACTTGTGTATTGTGCCCACGACTGCATGTGATACATGGGACTTTCAACATGGCGGACGTTCCTTCAGGGCAGACAGTACTATTAGATTTGTCCATAGGAACACATGCTTAAATACAAAAGTAAGTACTTTCATGAAGTCCTCATGAAAGTACTTACCCACACTCCAATCTCAAACATTCTTCTGCACCAGGTAGCCACAAGGGTCTGCTTCCCACATATAGAAAGAAAACAGGGGGTCGACCAGCTCAAACTCCCGCCACAGCTGATGCTAGTAAACAAACCTCAACTTTGACCTACATTTTCCTTGGTATCCATCCGTCTGGCCAGACAAGACCTAACCACTCACATCTCTCACTACGCCCACTAAACTGGTGAAATAAACAAAACTTGACCAATGCAGGAAAGTTTAGACCCTACCTGTGCCTTCCAGCCCAAAAATCTCCAAAATGGACCGAAATTTTCAAGAGAAAAAAGGATTTTCAAAGGTATTAACTAGGCACTCTTTTTTTGGCCTCCACTGCGCAGCGCAATTGTGACGTCTGCCCTACAGGCGCATAGCCTGGGTACCAAACCTTTGGTCGGCTTGGCGGTAATTTTTCGGCCAGGCCCTTTACCAAGCACAGGCGAGTTATGCCACGGACCTATCCCCAACTTGTTTTCCCTGTATCCGCTGACTTCCTGTATTCCTCTTTTGCCGCCCGTTGTGAGCGAAGAAACCTACCCCCCCCCCGAAGTGCGGTAATTAAAGGAGTACTAACCTCCAGAGGGAGGTGCTATATTTCGACAGGCATTTATTTTTAGAAGTGAAAAATGCATATTATTTTACAGTATAAAATTAAATGCCCATTGGTTACTTTTGGTAATTAGATACACATACTACTCGCGCACAGCATGCTGGGTAAACAGCAGGAATCTCCTCAGTCCATTCCCGACACGCTGGCAACAGGGAGCAATTCTGTACTTCGAGGGAGCGATTCTGTGTGCGCGCAAGTCTTAAAACGCTTCGAATCCAGGACAAACTCTCCAAATACCCTCAAAACTATCCCAGAATACACCACGCTACCCCATTGGTGTCTATGTTTTAAACAAAAAGTTACGTTAAAGACCTCATTTCGGGGGCGATAAGAAAAATTCGTACTGTTTTGTGTTCTTTGGTATCTTACCAACCATTGCCCTTCTTGGTGTTCTTATCGCCCCTCATTTATGCCGCAAATATTGACGATGAAAAAAACGGCGTAATCTAGTTATCCTTTCCATAAGTGGCGTAATCTAATTATCTGTTCAAGTAATACTTACATGCAAATAAGTTGAGAAAATCAAAACACGCAGGATGAAACTAACGCCCACTGCATTAGACATCCTGATATTATAGTATCCAAACCGCAGGTCAAGCAAAGTAAAGCAAGTAATTTCTCAATAATCAGCTTGTTTGTGTGCTTGTCGCCTACCATTTTCGTCCAAAAATGTTTATGTTGACCTGAAGTGTATGAGTATTGCGTACGCCAGAGTTCCCGGATGTATCAATTGTGGTTCAGCATGGGGGAAAATGATATTAATATCACTTTACAAACATGCGCCGCGCAACTCGTACAAGCAAAATTATGTAAAAAGTCGGCTAGTTATGTATTCATTGCAGCATGATGTATCGGAAAACAGCACTTCCTTCTGGAGGTTAGTACTCCTTTAAGTAGCACACTCTGATGAGTCTGATGAACCTAAAAAAACAGAAAAAGAGAGAAAGAAGAATATATATTACTTGAATTAATTTATTTTCATACTCTATTTCATTGATCTTTTATGTTTTGTAATTTGCAAATAGCCTCCGGGCACGAATTTGCAATTAACTTTTCACTGACTATATCACTTAAAGATAAATCAAGGAAACAAAAAAAAACAGGTTTTGCTGTTCAAAATTATTTGAGAATAGACACTGAATGCTGTACAAAAAGAATTCTCTATTTCTTTATAAAGTAGGAAATTGAAAATAAGAATTAAGTTCAAACCTACTTTCTGGCACCGATGATATTAAGAATACAACTATTGTATATATTCAATTGAAGCGAAACATATTTTCACCTCCCAACTCCTTTTCAGCAATCCTCTTGGCCCCTACTGCAAAGTCCTCTCTGCCAACCTTTCTCATGAGGCGTTCCAAGAGTGTAGGATTCCCCTCCCACAACTTCCCACTTTGCTCTAGCTTCGTACACATCTGGTGTGGGTCCATGTGTTGGAGATCTCTCGCTGGCAAAAGTTCTTTACTGCCCAAGTAGTTGCGGAGATCTCTAACCTGCTCGTCTTTTAGATTCTGCGAGATCCTCAGGTACAGATCATCAGCAGAGGGTTCCTCAACATCTCCTAAAACGAAACCCAAAATTTATACGATCTTATGGAGTATAAATAAACACAGATACTGTGTTCATAATTATAACTAGCGGAGACTTGGCAGGAAATACGGTTGCCTCTGTATCGCCTTCACAACAATGGAAGTAGGTTGATATAGACTGCAGTTCCCAAAGATAATAGCGAAGAAACATGTTACATAAGTTACAGCCATGCTCCTGATAAAGAGATGACATATGTTAGAGCGAATTTGAATACCGACCTTGCACTTCCCTTCGTAGTCTTTTGGCTCTTGGCCTGGTGGACGTCTCCCGTACATGTGATCCCGAACCACCTGCGAAAATAACCGTTTTCGTTACACTTGACTGACCCTGCATTCAAGTATTACTGAAGGATGAGCGTTACCAAATTCTTGTTGCATGTGTAATGTCCAGCTACAAGATATAATTTGGGCGACATTGTCTTAAGAGCGAATGTCTGTAAGGATCAAACAATGGTGGCACCGGTCAAAAAATCGATTTGGCTCATTTTTTGCACAGTGATAGTACTTGGTACATAACCCCTCAGAATAGCTTTCTTTTTGCTCAGAACCCCTTGTTGCCATGGCAACGGGCCAAAGAAGTTTTCAGGGCATTTGTCCAGATTTTGGCATGTACAAAACATAGAAATTGGCTAACTTTAGGGCACTATAACTGATCAGTGCTTTAGCGTAACGACAAGAGCAAGATGTGCTGATCAGAGCAATGCCTAAACTTGTATAAAATAGCAGTAAAGCCAATGATCAGTAAAATCTGAGGTCTTGGGCACTCTGAATACAATGCACTGTTTTAAGGGTGTATAAAAACTGAAATTTTGCCCAACTTTAAAGCACTGTAAGTCCCAAAAGGGGAGAATGTTTTGCTTGAAATTTACACTGCATAATAAACCACTCTAGGGGTATCAGATGCATGCTTGCAAAGTTTGGGTTCTTGTTTCGTTGCTACGCACTTGTCCTTTAAAGTAGGTCAGTTTTCGTTATTTTCATAATATGTCATTTTGTGCTATCTTTGAACTAACATAACCTCCAAACCAAACTAGTTATTTACTTGAAAGTTACATAGAATATAAAACAACAAATTGTCTATATAATGCATTCTTGTAAAGTTTGGGTTCTTGTTTCGTTGCTACGCACTTGTCCTTTAAAGTGGGTCAGTTTTCATTATTTTGATAATATGTCATTTTGAGCTATTTTTGACCTAGCATAAGTTCCAAACCAAACTAGTTATTTACTTGAAATTTATTTACAACATAAAACAATATGTATTCTGTGGAATGCGTACTTGCAAAGGCTGGGTTCTTGTTTTACTGCTACGCACTTGTCCCTGAAAAAGGGGCAATTTGCATATTTTCATGTCATCTTGTCCTATCTTTTGACTCTCATAAGTCTCAACAGTAAACTGTTGTGTGTTTAAATTTACACTGAATGTAAACCTATATATTGTCTATGAAATGCATGCTTGCATAGGTCAGATTCCTGTGTTCTAGTGGCTGTACCTGTCCCTGAAAGTAGGCTATATTCTTCACTTGTCCACTAATGCAAAATATTGACTATCTTTGGGAGTCTAATATGAAAAAGGAAAGGTTCTATCTCTAATTTTGCCAGATCTATGCCTTGGGTTGTTTATGAAATAGTTAGCACCAACGTTTGCATGATATAGTTGAAGCAATGTGGCTGTTATTGAACGTATGCCATTTTATCTTAATTTGATGATAACAGTCTTATACAGTCATATTTAGCGTCCCCACATTATTGACTCTCAAAGACTTGACTTGTTTCTATATTTGAATAAATATAATAAATCCCTGCGCATCTTTCTAACATGTAGTCTCTCACTCTATGTCTATGTCTTTGTATAACTATGTCTATGTGGAAAACATGCATTTCAGTCAACTCCGCTATTATATTCCTGTACATGTAGACTGTACTCATTTTGAGCAAGGACAGGAACTTAAGTACTCTTTCAGTTTTGCTACAAAGGCCGCTTTCCGACGGCGATCACTTATGGAAGCTACATCCACATCAAAGTGTTCACAAATCCGTTTTAGCAATGCAATCCCAAGTTCGTATAAGTCACCTCTCTTTGACATGTCACATAGGTTATATGTGTCATACAAAACAGGATGACGTAGGTGGACATCATCAATAACTTTAGCTTGCACTTTACTGTTGGTTCTCATCATCCTCTGTCGTCTTTCTACGTTTGGCTGCCAGTCTTGAGAAATAGCTTGACACTTGCTGTGTTGTCAGGAAGTCATTGACTCTGAATAGCCTTTGTCCTTGCGAGTCCCTTGCATGCCTCATAGCTTTTGACACTGTCTGTGGGTCAGACTTTTTACCTGTCGTTTCACCAAAGTGAAATGTCCTGTCAAGGTACGCCTTTTGTTTGGCACTGAACCTTACACGCTTCCTTTGGCTACGCAGTGCCCATCCTTCTTGAGGGCACTGCGTTGTTCTTGTTGCTCCTAGCGCTGTCTCAAAACTGAAAGAGTACTTAAGTTCCTGTCCTTGCTCAAAATGAGTACAGTCTACATGTACAGGAATATAATAGTGGAGTTGACTGAAATGCATGTTTTCCACATAGACATAGTTATACAAAGACATAGACATATAGTGAGAGACTACATGTTAGAAAGATGCGCAGGGATTTATTATATTTATTCAAATATAGAAACAAGTCAAGTCTTCGAGAGTCAATAATGTGGGGACGCTAAATATGACTGTATAAGACTGTTATCATCAAATTAAGATAAAATGGCATACGTTCAATAACAGCCACATTGCTTCAACTATATCATGCAAACGTTGGTGCTAACTATTTCATAAACAACCCAAGGCATAGATCTGACATATTATCAAAATAATGAAAACTGACCCACTTTAAAGGACAAGTGCGTAGCAACGAAACAAGAACCCAAACTTTATAAGAATGCATTATATAGACAATTTGTTGTTTTATATTCTATGTAAATTTCAAGTAAATATCTAGTTTGGTTTGGAACTTATGCTAGGTCAAAGATAGCACAAAATGACATATCATCAAAATAACGAAAACTGACCCACTTTGAAGGACAAGTGCGTAGCAACGAAACAAGAACCCAAACTTTGCAAGCATGCATTTCATAGACAATTTGTTGTTTTATACTTTATGTAAATTTCAAGTAAAGAACTAGTTTGGTTTTGGAGCTTATGTTAGTTCAAAGATAGCACAAAATGACATATTATCAAAATAACGAAAACTGACCTACTTTAACCCTAAACAGTACACCTGGGGTCCGCGCGGACCCCAGCACTATATATTCTGTAATATCTTTTTGTTTCTAAAGATTTTTTCTGAAATTTTAGGTAATTTTCACCCACAAAGTTGTCTCTCAATACAGTGCAGAAAACTCCGTTTCTACCATTTATAAAAAAATTATATCTGATTTTCTTTTGGGGTCCGCGCGGACCCCAGCCGGCTTTCGATCATAATGGATACACTGGCGTTCTTATACATTACCTTATTTCCGTTTTCATATATTTTTATGCACTCATCGTATGTCTATCAAGTTTTTAGAGAATGGTGTAGTAATAGAATTAAATTTTAATAACTTTGGTGTAATTATGACGTCATATGACGTCAGAGCTAATAATATAGTCCGCCATATTGGATTTTGACCAATGACGTCATCAAATTAGCATATTCTATGCATATTAAATGATTTAACTTATATTTAATTATGTAAGATGTTATTAATGTTGGAAAAGAAGTGTAATTTATTATAGAACTCAGAAAATTTTTATGTTTAAACCAAAATTACTTCTATTCTCAAAAAAACTGCCTGCTAGAAACCCGTTGCCATGGCAACACAAAAAAACATCAACTTACTAGTATTAAACTAATATGAACTTTTTGCCAGAGACATTTTAGGAAAGATCTCCAAATTTGATACTTCTAGCGCAAGCCGTTTAGCCGCTATCTGAGATCAAAGTTGGGCCTCAAAAGCCCCTTCAGTCTGAAATGGGTTTAAAAATCGGGTATTTCTCCTTGTCTTCTTTTCTTCACCAAAAAATAGAAAAAGTTCGAAATGTATGATTTTTGTGTGTAATGTGGACACAGAGGTTCCCACATCAGTTTGCAAAACAATTGAGCTGGTAGCCTGTTGATAATTTCTAAACATTGGCAAAAAACTGTTCTGGGGTCCGCGCGGACCCCAGGTGTACAGATTAATCAGTCCGGGAAGGTGTACTGTTAAGGGTTAAAGGACAAGTGCGTAGTAACGAAACAAGAACCCAAACTTTGCAAGCATGCATCTGATACTCCTAGAGTGGTTTATTATGCAGTGTAAATTTCAAGCAAAACATCCTCCCCTTTTGGGACTTACAGTGCTTCAAAGTTGGGCAAAATTTCAGTTTTTTTACACCCTTAAAACAGTGCATTGTATTCAGAGTGCCCAAGACCTCAGATTTTACTGAACATTGGCTTTACTGCTATTTTATACAAGTTTAGGCATTGCTCTGATCAGCAAATCTTGCTCTTGTGGTTACGCTAAAGCACTAATCAGTTATAGTGCCCTAAAGTTAGCCAATTTCTATGTTTTGTACATGCAAAAATCTGGACAAATGCCCTGAAAACTTCTTTGGCCCGTTGCCATGGCAACAAGGGGTTCTGAGCAAAAAGAAAGCTATTCTGAGGGGTTATGTACCAAGTACTATCACTGTGCAAAAAATGAGCCAAATCGATTTTTTGACCGGTGCCACCATTGTTTGATCCTTACAGACATTCGCTCTTAATACATAAGTTATAATATAACAATATATACAAGCAAAATATCAAACTACGATTCTTTGCTGCTTCCCCCAACACGTCACCATCTTCTAGAAATACCTTTGCGTTTGATTTTCCTCTTTCCACGTAGGCTTGTACCACTGGGTCCGGCCTCAGAAGAGATTTGCTCGAAATCTGCACAGATATCAATTTTTGTTAATTACACATCTCCTTACCACTCTCTTTGGAGAGGATAGAACGTACGAGTGCTACTAAAACTCCAAGGCAAGTTAAACCATCGAAATAAATTTTAGAAATGAAAATATGCAAGCTCTGAGGCTGATAATTGCCCTCCAAGCATACTCCAAATATATTATTACGGATTGCCGTAAATAACTAGTGGTAGCACATTTTATGTATGATTTTCCGTCACCTTTAGCTGGTGTAAATCTGCAGACAGTCTCGTCAGCGTTCTTGAGGTGCAGGTCGAACCGAAGCTTGGATCTCTGCGCTCTGCTGTACTTCCTGGCGTCCACCTCCACACGGAACTTCTTGTAGTACTGCCCTGTCTCAAACGTGTCGTCAAACTCCAGACCCTGCAATTAATGGTAAAGCATGTACACAGATTTAGTAACCTATTGACATTACGTTACCTTAAAGTGCTTATGTTTCCACATTTTTCTCTACTACAAATAATTCCTGAAATACTTCTTTCTAGCACATCGCATCGCTGTATTTGATTACATGATGTTAAACAGGCTCAGAGTCTTCTCAGGTTGTGTAAACACTGCACGCGATAATAAAGCTAAGAATCTGTGCTGAACCTCTTCAGGTCGTGTCTCCACGTCGACGCCTGCTCCGTTTCTGGCTGTCACCTCCAGGCGATACTCCTCCCCCAGCTTCAGCACACACTGTTCAGGGTCCCAGCTGGAGTAGCCGAGCCTCCCTTCCAACGCCTGCAGGTACTGGAACCATGCATTTGACAAAGAAGAATATCAAGATCATCGTTTTTGCGTTTATTTACAACATCTAAATTATTTGCAGTTTGAATAGGATTTCTGCTATCCTGTTTTAAGATTTACTTGCAAAGAGACACCTTACCTCACTTCGACATATTTTTTTGGGGTATCCACTTCTTTCATGTTGATCTATAGACCAGATCAAGAGGCATCCCCAAAAACAGCATTATTTTGTCATTCATCATGCTCATGACTTAGAAATATGGTTATCTTACGATGTTTTCCACACTACTTATACATTTTGCCATACGCTGTTAATACATTGAAAAAATGATTCTGAAAAGAATCAACTAGTACTTGCAAAGAGACACCTTACCTCTACCATTAGCACGACATTGGAGATGATGTAGACGTGAAGCTGGAAGACCGAGGGATAGTTTGGCGGCGCGAACACCACACACAGGCCGTTCCTGCGCAGGTCCATCCCCAGGATTTTTCTCACCACAGGACCGAACTTGCTTCCCTTCCGGAATCTGGTGGTGAGGTGGGTCGGGCTGATGTCAGACACCGTCAGGAGTTCTTCCGTCTCTCCCGCAACGTGCACGATCGCGATGTCATCTGGATTCAATACTGATAGAATATGTTGGTCATAATATTATGTTCTGTACATGTACATTTTAATCTCTTTTGAAACTTAAGTTTAATTCTAACTTTATTGCTAGCTCTCCAGGAAATACAAACACTTATAAACTAAATACCTATTGACTAAACCTATCTTTCAAAATAACGATTCTTGCAGATGTACCTGTGTCTCCATCCAGGTGCAGCACGTGCGGCAGTAGGATGTCCACCGGCCCCTCCACGTCCTCACACTGGATGGAGAAGAGCGGACCCACCGCCATCCATCCCTGATCCTGCTGCCAGTTGTCGGACCAGTTCGCACTCCTGTAGGTCACGTGCAGCGGGTAGGGCGTCACCACGCCCAGGTCGGTCCGTCTGCACAGGTACTTCCCTTCACCTGGCAGGCGGAGGGACCTGAGGAGATTAACACAGGTATTGTAGCCAGGTGTTCAATCATACAGGTGTGGCATAGCGGGTAGGGCGTCACCACGAACTACTTTTACTGTGTTTGTTTGTGCGTAGATATGTATAGTCGAGTGTTATAGATGGCTACTCACCAGTCTGTGTCTCCGGTCATCTCAGGACTGACCTCTTGTAACGGCAAGGCATCACGGTATTCCTGGATAAAAAGAATTGTACATTTTGCAGTTTCATATCAACATGACATGATGAAGAATTGTGATCGATGCATTCATGCATCTTGTAAATATCTCATGGCAGTTATACGAGAATTCCTTTGTTTCTACTCACACAGATACATGTACATGTATGTTCTTTGTAATTATCCAAACTAGGATAATTGTGATGGTTAAGAAATTGTTCTTTCTTTCAGTAGAATATTACCCTGCAATACGGCATAATTTCATAACTAAAATCAATTATGTGTATAATTCGGTTTTCTTTCGTCCTTCACCATGTGAAATGATCTAACAAGAAGTCCATAAACTCACAATGTACACTCCCTGTACGTCTTTAGCCAGGTCCGGTTTGCCGATGTTCTGCAGTGTTTCCTCCAGCTGCGGCAGGTAGTGGAGCGGTCCGTGGGGGGTCTTGGTGCGCCAGGCCTTCAGCATCTGGAACGCCTTCTGGGTACCTGTTTTATCTGTGAGGCGGTACTCCCCCCCTATGTTGTCCAACACGGACCTGTTCAGTCCCAGCTCCTGTCCCAGCCGGGTCCACTCCCAACAAACAGCCCTGCTGACCTGGTACAGCCGGTTGTCTGTATAGTAAGAGCATCAATTTTGGAGGTATATATAAGTCAAGAGGAAACATGTAACAGAAACAAATATTGCCCAATCAATGTTTCAGATATTCACTTACCAATGAAGTACTTGCCGATGACGTCTGCCGGTGTTCTGGTGACCGGAAGTGGCCCTTCCCAGCTTCCCCTGGACAATCTCATCAAGTCCCCCGGCACGTGACGCCTCACAGCCTCTATAGGGAGGGACTTTGCTGTTTCCCCGCTTCCAACACTGTTACTGGAGTACAAGGCAGGAAACTCGTCCCAACAGGCCTCTATCTCCCTCACTACCGTCTGAGCCCGGCGCCACGCCTTCTCCGGCTCTCCCCGGATCCGGATTTCTTCTCTTGTAGCGGAATGGCGGTACATGACGTCTTCTGAGTTCTCTCCAACATGAACGACAACTGTGTCCTTGGTGAGGAGACGGCGTGTGGTCTGCTCCATGGACAGGATACGGGAGACCATGGTTTCCGGTAGACCCAGAGGAGGCTCTTGGCTGTACTCTATAGTAAGAGAGATCTCCTCTCCGCCTGATGGCACAACCTCTGGCCAGCAGTGTGCCACCTCGTCAGGCTGGGCGGCAGGAAGCTCTGTTGGAAAGATCACCGACCCTGAGTAACACAGGCCGAAGTGCTTCATCAGGGGAAGGAGACTGTTGAAGGTGACAATGCTGTCTCCAAGCAGGTTCTTCATGAAACTGTCGCTGGCCCTGCCCGTCTTCAAGAAGGACGCCCTGTCTTCAGCAAACTGCGCTCTGGTATGCTCAGACAGAGACTCGGCTATGCTGTCCAGATATGCCGGTAGGTCATGCCTGAAGATCTGCTTGAAGAGTGTGAGGATGATGGTTGGGTCCGGGAAGACCAGATCTTCCATCCCCCTGATGTGGTTGTAGAACAGGATCTGTCCGGTCACGTGCAGATAGCTGAGCGCGTTCAGGACGTCTGACTCCTTCATCCCTGCAGCTGCTCCGACGTCCTGACACTCCCTGACTTGACGGTGGGTCCGTCCTGTCGCCTGGATGTTTTCTGACAGTTTTGTCCAGGAAGTCGGCATCTCTTGGCGGGCAGCAGGGAACAATCGCTCGTCCTTCACCATTTCTGCCATCTTGTCGCACAGAGCTCCGATACCCTGGAACGTCTTGCTGCTGACCGGGATAACCTGTACGTTCAACAGACCTTTGGGTCGTCCGTCCAGTAACTTCTCCAGTGACTCTTTCTTGGCCAAGATGTCGTCCCTTGTGAGACCGTAGAATGGCCCGGACATGTCTGATCTGCTGTCCACTGCGTCCACCGCCTTCTGACAGAATTGAATCTCTTCTTTCAGCTTGGTTTGTAGTTTACTCTCAGCGCCCTGGGTGTCTCTCTGGATGGAGGAACAAGCTGCTGCTATCATCTCCTCGGCCTTGTCTGGCGGAAACATGTCAACTTTGGTTCCTACAACAAGGATAGTCGGGTTGAAGACGTGGGAAGTCACGGATGTTAGCCACGTTCCCACTCGTTCCTGGAACTCTTCTGACTTGTATGCTGGCAGGTCTACATTGAGGATGTGCAGGGCCTGACGTGTCAGGAAGAACCGGTGCGTGTAGTGGTAGATCTGGTGACCTCCGAAGTCGTACATCGCGTACCTGACGTTATTCTTGGTGTCATGGAAACTGATGACGTCAACACCGATGGTTCTGTCAGTTTCGGTCTCCACGTGACCTTGACCCTTTATCATACAGTTGAGCAGACTGGTCTTCCCTGCCTCCGTCTGTCCCAGAAACACGCCCTTGACTTCCAAAGGTGTTGTGACGTCGTCCGCATGCGCTCTTGGATGGCGTAGATGTTTCATCACCGTTACTGTATAAAAGGTGGCATTAAATATGATTACTATAATAGTAGACAGCACACAAATGTCAAACATAGATATTGCTGTGCCATATGTATAGTGTTATATGCTTCTGACCTGTTTTAAACATAACCATTACATTTCTACCCTTCCTTTCTCTGTGAAAGCAGTGACTTTGAGGCGTAACATGTGGGAAAACTCTTCTAGTAGCAAAGAGAGAATTTCTTATCTAAGAAATTGCTTAACTTATTCTTGTAAAACAGTCTATGATATACTTGAATATTTTGAACATTTAAACCTAGACTAACAAATCACATGATAATTGTACTTGAGGTATTATTGTTTAGAGAATGACATTTCATAGTTGCCTACCTTGACTTTCCTGCTGTGTGAAATGTTCCGTCTGTGCGATTTGTTGACCAGGTTGTGCCGCCTGCTGTTTCCCGATTTGTTGACCAGGTTTTGCCGCCTGCTGTTTCCCGATGCCGTAGTGCCGCTCCCAGAACCGCTCCCGTTCCTCCATCTCCTCCGCCAGGAAGTCCTGTCCTTCCTCCCGCAGGACCCGCACTAACCAGTCGTACGGCTCCTGCCGCCTCCTGCCATACTGCAGCATGTCTACCAACCGGCGGGCCCGGCTTACTGGTGTCGGCTTCGCCTAGGGGAGGGAAAATCGTCAGGGGTGTGATCTTACTTAGACAACGCTAGTTAACATTTCTGTTCTCCTGTACGTGTGGGTGGGGTTTCTCTGTGGTCAGGTTTTAAAGAGAGAGGCACTTCAATTTAGCAAAATCCTACTTCTGAAATAAAAGGTGTCCATGCGAAAACATATTACCATTGAAACATGCGTTATCAATATTCCATGTCAAAATAGCCAAGTGGGTAGAGGCCTTGCATTTAGGAGTTGATCAGTTCGCTCCCCTAAACATCTAAAGTACATGTGGCGAGGTGGTGTTTTTATCAAGACTCCGACAAGTGCCGGTTCCACCATGTAACTAACCTTTATAGACCGGACGTCAGCCGGACTCAGCTGGTTCTCCTGTTCCAGCCGTGTGAGAACAGCTGGGAGGTTCATGTTGTCAGGCAGGAAGACACGAGTGTTGATCAAGGCCCACCAGCACGGGAACCTCAGTTCACCTGTGGAGAGGAACAGACAAACGGCATGCGTCGCCTAGCATGGCTTTCTCTATGAAGCGATATCGTGTCAATCCACAAACTGTTGAGGCATGAATTTCATAATCATAATCTTGTTATACAAATATATAATAACCATGCAGTACAAGATAAAGGTAGCAAGTATATCTCATGAAGAGCTATACTTATGATAACATTTTTCTAATGTTTAATTTTATGTGCCTTGAGACCACCTCTCCAATTAACAAGTATTCCGTCTCATATTCAGGATATGTATTCGAACAGTACAGAAAACAAATAATTTCCAAATCCCCAAAATGTCTTCTGTGTGATTCTTGTGAAAACAAATAATATGAAACTTTATGAAGCAGCTACACAGCCATAAATTCCTCTGTGTATTTTATCGCTATAATGTGTACAGCTTCTTTGTTATGTTTTCCATCCAGTAAAACTGAAAGTGAAAGTTTCTCACTTGGTTACAGAGGCATCTGTGCTGAACATACGCTACCTGTAAACTTCTTCTTACCTTGTATGGGTAAGTTGTATGAGAGCAGTCCTATAATGTAACTTTTATTTATATGTGACAAAAAGAGTCCATATTTTTTGCGTTGTGTAACAGTCATACTATGTCCATCCTCACCTGTTTGTCTGCAGAGCGCGTCACGCACACCCCAGGCGATGCCTTCCATCCACCTGTAAATACTGAAAATACTGCCGGGCATCTTCTCCTCAACCCTGTGCCGCTGGACCCGCCTGGCCGGCGCCTCCAGGGTTGGGTACTGCCGGCTCACTAACGTACCGAACTCACGGAAGTCATCCACGTTCTGGTCCAGCCAAATGGCGTATCGAGGCTTGTTGTTCCTGACGGCAGTTTCCAGTCCGACCGTGAGCGAGGACTGGTCAGCAAGCAGGTGTCTGCTGATCACGGGCACGACAAGTTTCACGCTGCCGAGGGTCAGTGTGGACGTGAGCTGTGCGCGGCTGACGACACCAGGAGCACCCGTGACAATGGCTGTCTCGGGTAGACTGTAATACCCACCCGCATCCAGATCTATCAGCTCCCCCACCAGCCTCCTGACGAACTCCTCATCCTCTGCTGCGTGCAGGATGGCAACACGCGGACCTAGTAGAAAAACAACAGGTTAAGAATGTCAATAATTACAACATTTCAAAAGTGTGAATTTATCATGATAGTGATAGGTAGAACTACGCATATAGGGAAGTAATCCAGGCATTATTATCTAAGATGTATCCATCTTCAATGTTCACCAAACTGGAATGAAAGTGAAAGTAGATATATTGGGTGGGTGGAACTTTCGCTTATAGAAGTAAGGTTTATTATAGAAGTTCATTTGTGTTGGTAGTAATCATGGTGCAATGCACTTTATTCCAACAATGGTAGTTTGATATTTGATCCTCATGCACCCTTGTGTTGGAATAAAGCTCCCATTATACTAAGAATTTATGTTTCACTGTAAATTGTTTGTTTTGATGGTATACATTTATTTGTTATATCAAATAATTTTTGTCATACGCAGGAAACTCAATGTTATATTAAATAATTTTGTTATATAAAATGTTATATCACTTTATGATGTGATAATGTATCAAACAATATCACATCATAAAGTTTATTTAATGGTGGCGCTGATATATACGTTTAATGTTTCGGTGTCGTTCTTGTGCTTGTCGAGTCTGTATCTGAGTTTGTAAAGACGATAACTCTAGAAGGCTTGTAGATAGTCTTGATATTTGGTAGGTGGTTAGGTCTTGATGAGATGGTGGCTATGGCACTGCACCAGAACTTCCTAATTTGAGGTCATGTGAACTGGACATGATAGGGTCACGAATTGAGCATGTAGATAGCATTTTCGTTTCAGACACTGATTTTTGTTAAATGAAAAAGATAAAAATAAAAAGCTTATTTACTTTCTTTCTCTTCATCAGTGCCGCTGTAGTCGAACGAGTCCTCGCTGGAATCAGTATCCAGAGAATCTTTGCTCTCCGGACCGCTCTCAGGCTCACTCATTCTGGAAAAAAAAATTGGCCAAAACTTACAGAAAACTACATATTCAAACAGTAAGAAACGTGACTATCTATCTATCTACTTAATTATCTCGATCTACCTATTTTACCCATCTATTACCTATATA